TATGTGATAAYTGTGCATGCTTAGTTTAGTTATGGGTATCTCAAGTTTGGTTGTCAACCGAACCAACGTGAGGATGATAACCGGACACGATATCTTATAAAACCTATTATTTTGGTGTTTATAATAGGTTATATGTTTACACTGATATGCTTCATTGATATGTTTATATCCTGTTAGATCATTTAGCTTCATCTATGCATATATCTAATATCCCTATTATTTCAGCATCCACTTTAACACCTAGTTACGGCATTGAACCATTGACTGGTACAAACTTTGCCACATGGAGGGACTCAGTGAAATTAACTTTAGGAGTGATGGATCTTGATCATGCATTACGTACCGATCCTCCTGCCGCACTTAATGATAAGAGTACGGCAGAGCAAAAGCGTTTGCATGAACAGTGGGAGCGATCAAATCGCATGTCTCTCATGATAATCAAGAATTCCATCTCTGTAGCTATTCGTGGAGCCATTCCTGACTCGGACAACGCAAAAACCTACTTAGACTCTGTGGAAGAACAGTTTAAGGGTACCTCTAAGGCTCATGCAAGTACACTAATTCTCAAGATGTTAACTTCTAAATATGATGGCATTAGTGGTGTACGTGAGCACATCATGATGATGAGTGATATGGCAAATAAGCTCAAAGGTATGGATATGGAGATTAGTGAAGGATTTCTGGTTCACTTCATAATGACTTCTCTTCCTACACAGTTTGGTCCTTTTAAGATCAACTATAATACACAAAAGGAGAAGTGGAAGATGAGCGAACTAATCGCCATGTGTGTACAAGAAGAAGAGCGCCTTAAAATTGAAAAACCCGATGTTGCTCATGTCACCACTATAACTCCGTCTAAGAGGAAGGGTAAAAGCCTAGAAGGGGAAAGTTCTAAAGTCCGGAAAACAGGTGCAAGTACAAGCTCAGGTGTGAGTAAATTTAAGGGTASWCCCCGTTGCAAGTTTTGCCACAAGAAAGGGCACTTTCAACGGGATTGCCCTAARTTCAAAGAATGGTTAACAAAGAAAGGTAATCTTTATACTTGTATGATTTATGAATCTCTTAACATTAACGTTCCTTTAAATACATGGTGGATTGATTCTGGTTCCATGGTACACATTTCAAATTCTTTACAGGGATTCCGTACAATCCGGAAATTGGAAAGAAACCAAAGAACGATTAAAGTCGGGAATGGAGCTGATTTAAACGTGGAAGCTGTAGGAACCTTAYCTTTATTACTAGAAGGAGGTTTCTGTTTAAATCTGTATGACACTCTGTATGTACCGAGCATTACTCGGAATCTAGTATCATTACCTAAGTTGAATGATTATGGATATGCATTTACTTTTAATGAAGGTAAAGTTACTATTTATTTAAATTCTGATATTGTTGGTTTTGGTTGTTTAGAGGGAAACCTCTTTAGATTATGTTTAGATGATCAATTCTCAAAATCTTTATTATCATTCAATGTGAATGATAACTTGAATAAGAGAAAGCGAGATATTGAAAATTCATCGATGTTATGGCACAAACGCTTAGGTCATATATCACGAGATAGAATGTTAAGACTCGTGAAAGATCAAGTGTTACCGAATCTCGATTTTTCAGATTTTGATAAATGTGTTAAATGCATTAAAGGAAAAATGATAAAAGGGAATAAGAAAGGTTCCACAAGAAGTTCTCGGTTATTGGAAATAATCCACACCGACATTTGTGGACCTTTTCCCGCGGACATAAGTGGAAATAAATCATTTATTACCTTTATTGATGATCATTCACGCTATATGTACTTGTACCTAATTAAAGAGAAATCTGAAGCACTTGAAATGTTTAAAACATTTAAGGCCGAAGTTGAGAATCAACTTGACCGCAAAATTAAGGTAKTCAGATCGGATAGAGGGGGTGAGTTTTATGGTAGACATACAGATGTGGGTCAAGTTCCAGGGTCTTTCTTTGACTTTTGTAAAGATCACGGAATAGTGAACCAATATACCATGCCAGGCACACCTCAGCAAAACGGAGTGGCTGAGAGGAGAAATAGAACACTTATGGACATGGTACGAAGTATGTTGGCAAACACTAACCTACCTCAATTTTTATGGACTRAGGCATTAAAAACGGCGGTTCACATCCTAAATAGAGTTCCTTCTAAAGCTGTTCCTAAAACTCCTTTTGAAATATGGGCAGGGAGGAAACCAAGCTTAAGGTATCTAAGGGTGTGGGGTTGTCCGRCAGAAGCTAAAGTGTACAATCCTCTATTAAGAAAACTTGATATGAAGACCATAAGTTGCTTCTTCATTGGTTATCCCGAACGATCAAAAGGATACARATTCTATTGTCCTTCACATACTACTCGGATAGTAGAAACACGACATGCCGTATTTCTTGAGAATTGTGAAAATGATGATAGTATTGAAAATTGTGGTATAGATCTTCAAGAGGTTYGTGAAGAAACACCACTAATACATGTGCCTGTTTCGATAAATACACCACTTGAAGACTCCAATGTTCAACCTATGTCTCATAATGAAAGTGTAACAAACTTAGAGACAAATGTTGAAATTCCACACATTSAGAATACTCAAGAAATTAATATTGAGCCTCAAGAAACTCACCAGTCTTTAAGGAGATCACAAAGAACTAGGCGACCCACCGGTTTTGACGATTATGTTACCTACTTAAATGAGGTCGATATTGACTTAGGAAAATGTAACGATCCTATATCCTATAATGAYGCAATAAATAGCAAACAATCTTCTCATTGGAATGAAGCTATGATTGATGAACTAGATTCTATGAGTAAGAACGATGTATGGGRACTTGCTGAATTACCAAAGGGTGCGAAACCCGTAGGATGCAAGTGGGTCTTCAAGACTAAACTTGACCCAAAAGGAAACATCGAACGTTATAAAGCCCGATTGGTTGCTAAAGGATATACTCAAAAGGAAGGTATAGATTATCAGGAAACATTTTCTCCTGTTTCAAGAAAAGATTCCTTACGGATCGTGATGGCCCTCGTAGCTCATTTTGACTTAGAGTTACATCAAATGGACGTTAAGACCGCTTTTCTTAATGGAGATTTACATGAAGATGTTTATATGGCCCAACCTGAAGGGTTTAAGCTTAAGGGTCAAGAACATCTTGTTTGTAAACTGAAAAAGTCAATCTATGGGCTTAAGCAGGCATCTCGTCAATRGTACTTAAAATTTGATGAAGTCATGAAGAAAAATTGCTTCATTAAAAATCAAGTGGATCAATGTATATACCTCAAGATGAGTGGGAGGAACTTTGCTATACTTGTCCTTTATGTCGATGACATTCTATTGGCAAGTAATAATGTTGATTTRTTGCATGAATCAAAACGCTTTCTTTCACGTCAATTTGAYATGAAAGATCTCGGAGAAGCCTCTTATGTCATAGGAATAGAGATCCACCGAGACCGTACCATGGGGACATTGGGATTGTCCCAAAAGGGGTACATTGAGCKTGTACTTCATCGATAYAATATGCAACATTGCTCTCCCTCAGTTGCTCCTGTAGTTAAGGGAGATGTTTTCAGTTCTTTTCAATGTCCAAAAACAGAGGTAGAAAAGGAACAAATGARGTTAATACCTTATGCTTCTGTAGTCGGAAGCTTGATGTATGCTCAAGTTTGTACACGTCCCGACATCGCTTATATAGTTGGTATKCTAGGCAGGTATCAATCTAATCCAGGCCTAGATCATTGGAAAGCCGCTAAGAAGGTGTTGCGATATCTTCAAGGGACTAAAGATTACAAACTAACTTTTAAAAGAACAAATGATCTAGAAGTCGTTGGATTTTCCGACTCTGATTTTGCAAAATGCAAAGACGATAAAAAGTCGACTTCGGGATATATTTTCATGCTGTCAGGTGGGCCTATTTCGTGGAGGAGTCATAAGCAGCAATTGACGACAACTTCAACTATGATGGCAGAGTATGTTGCTGTTTATAATGCGACATGCCATGGAATGTTATTAAGAAACCTTATAAGAGGACTCAAAATCGTAAACTCCATATCAAGGCYATTGAAGATATACTGTGACAATTCTGCAGCCGTAAGCTTTTCGAATAGTAATAGTTCAAGTGGGGCTGGATTATATCTCGATACAAAGTACTTATTTGTACGAGAACGAGTAGAGGAAAACAACCTTTGTATCGAATATATAAGCACTCATGACATGCTAGCGGATCCGATGACGAAAGGTCTTCCACCCAAAGTATTTCAAGAACATGTCGTCAAAATGGGTTTAGGACGAGATCTTATATAAATTTATTTCTAGCATATTGCTTTAGTAAGTTTTATGTACATAAGACAAGTGCTTGATTATAATTTCCTCGTATATATTATTGAAGTTTGTCTAKAATTATGAATTATGCGCATTTAGGTTGATTCATAGACAACTATGTTATTTACCACATTATGTCTTTGAGATTTTGACTTGATATATTCTTGATGCTCTGTATATATATATATATATATATATATATATATATATATATATCGTAGTATGATTGATGGGGTTCTCATGTTGATATTGACATGCATGAATGTATCTTTCTGCTATGGTATAAGTACAAAGTATCATGAGTATTTATTCAACCAAACTTATGATGAATCTAATTATAAATGGTCACTAGTCCAAGTGGGAGAATGTTGGAATATTTTCTATTTTATGTGGCCTTAGGACCATTTATGTTATAAATTGTGGTAAATAAAAATATTTATGGTTTATACCCTTAATTATACCATCATGYCATAATTAGTTACTTGATGGAAGTAACTGCCATATAAATAAGATGGTAAAGTTATTTTTTCTCTTTAATGCTTTCTCACGTACAGGGGATATTCAAGGAGAGATCAAAAACTCTCTCTCTCCCAAAACACTATAATTTTATCCTCTAAATCTATCCATCAAGAAGAAGGCATAATAACGAGAATAAGATTTCGAAGTCATATCGTGATAATGGTGTCTTCTTCGTCAATGAACAATCCTATCAAGATTGGCTTTCCAAGTAAGTTTTAAGTTTACGTTTTCAATTGAGATCATGTGATTAAATCCTGTTATGTGTTTAATGTGATTAACAAATACTTCAATCGAGTTGCATGATTCGGCTAATGCTTGATCCAGTAAATTTAATGGTGTTTTGTCTTTCCACAAACCCCAGGCCTGAAAGAAATGTAGGCATCAAGATTAGTTTTCAAAACAAAAGGAATTAAGATTTGGGTTTAAAGAACTTACGTAGGATATAAGGCTAAAGGCTTGTTGATTCTGATAATAAGCGGTGTTTCTTTTACCACTAATAATCTTGAGTACAACTACTCCAAAGCTAAAAACATCGGATTGTACTGAAAACAAGCCGTTTAGTGCGTATTCTGGAGACATATAGCCGCTGCAAATGAACAACACCATAATCCATGTATATCATCGATACAAGTCCACATGTTCTAAAGATTCAAGAGCTACAATGGACTCGAAGGAACACGATTATTTTCCCAAGGACAAGTTGCACAAATTAACAAGTTCAAGAAATATTTGGCCGTACAAAACTAGCTTAACCAGATTTGGGTGCAATGCACTTACTAGGTTCCGATAACTCTGCCCGTTCTAGCTTCCGTTTCTCTACCTTTAACTATCTTTGCTAAACCAAAGTCTGAAATCTTGGGAGTCATCTCCTTGTCTAAAAACACATTACTCGTTTTCAAATCTCTATGAATAATCCTCAATCGTGAATCTTGGTGAAGATAGACAACTCCTCGAGCAATACCCATGATGATATCGAAGCGCGTTGCCCAGTCAAGACACATACAAAGTGTCCTATCTTGAAATCAAAATCACAATTTCAGATTGTTGTGTTGATGTTAAAGTTGTAAATAAACGAGTTATATATACACAAATTAAGGCTAACCAAATATGAAACGGTCCAAGCTTTTATTAGGCATGTATTCATAGAGTAGTATCATTTCATGATCCTTCATGCTGTATCCCAAGAGC